GCCCCGACCAAAGATAGCCAATGCTTTCTAGGTACCACTGTGTTTCTGATCAAGTGACCAAACAGTGACAGTGTGGCCTGACCCTCTATAGAGGGCCTGGCGATTCTCATCAGGAGACTGGAAGAGAAGGGTGTAGGGGAAGGGTGGGTAGGTAAGGAAAGCTGCCAAATCTTGGTATACCCACAACAGAAACACTGGGATATATTTGTGTGGGGGTGCCCTTGGTGCACATCTGAAGAGAATAGCAAAACTCCAAGGTTACTTTAGAGTCAGTGTCAAGATAAGAAGCTTTAACTCATGCAGAAATGAGCAGGGAAGGAAGGAAGGAAGGAAGGAAGGAAGGAAGGAAGGAAGGAAGGAAGGAAGGAAGGAAGGAAGGAAGGGAGGGAACGAACGAACATAGTCCATACCCTTGTATGGGACAAGATGCTAAGAACTGACAATGTTCATTCATTCAACTCGAGAAATGTTTACTGACTACTTATGTACTCAGGGGGAAAAGAAGGCCCAGTGGAGTCTGCAGGACACACAGGCACGCCTATACCTTCACTAACCTAGCAGATGGCCCCATATCTCCTAGGTACGTTGGCCAGAAAAATGAGGAACCTGATGGGAATAAACTCAACACTGCTGGCCTCCTGGCCTCCAAAAGCCTTCCTAGGATAAGGCGAGCCTGCTCACTGCTCTTCCTGGTATCCTGCTCTTTCTCCCAGGATGGACCACCAGAAAAAGTTCCTGAAGTGACTTCCCACTGTTCAGAATTAAAGAGTAAAATCCAAACTCCTGCCCTGGCCAGTTTGGCTCAGCAGTTAGAGCGTCGGCCTGCGGTCTGGAGAGACCCGGGTTCGGTTCCCGCTAAGGGCACGTACCTCGGTTGCAGTTTGTCCCCGGCCCTGGTTGGTTGTGCGGGTGGCAGCCACTCGATGTGTCCCTTTCACATCGATGTTTCTCTCTCTCTCTCTCTCTCTTCCTCTCTCTCCCTCCCACTCTATCTGAACAAAAAATGGAAAAATGTCCTTAGGTTAGGACAAAAAAATAAATAAGTAAAATAAAATCCAAACTCCTCACTATGGCCACAGATCCAGCCACTACCAACTCTTTATTCACCTCGTTCCAGCTCCACACTGCACTTATTGCTCCTGTTCCTGCTGTCCTCTCTGCCCATCAGCCGATGTCTATTCAGAGCCACCTCCTCAGAGCTAGGTAAAATTATGACCTAACCCTCATCCCAGTCACGCTCCATCTCATTGCCCAGTTTTATTCTCCCTGTATCTCTTTTCATCACTCTAGGTTATTTTGTTCACATAGCTACTTGTTTACTAGCTGTCTCACCCACTACAAAATAACCTTCATTACACCATGTATCTTGGCGATCTAAGCACAGTGCCTGGGGCTTAGTAGGTGTTCAGTAAGTCACAAATATTTACTGAGTACCTACAAAGTTTAGGCACTGAATTATAATAGTAGACCAAAAAAAGACAAAATCTCTGCCCCCAAAGAGCTTAAATTCTGTTGGGAGATAACATAAATTAATAATGGTAAAACGATAGCTGTTACTGCAACCAAGCAACTATTCAGTGCTCAGTGCTGTTCTAAGCATCTGATAGGTATTACTTAAATTTTTTAAAATTAATTAATGTATTTATTTTTGTTACAGATGTTTCTCCTTTTCCCCCCACTGATATCCCCTTCCCCCTCCCTCCCCGCCCTGTTCCCAGCTTTGTTGTCCCTGTCCACTGTTCATGCATACATGCATATAAGCTCTATGGTTTATCTCCCCCCACCCCCTCTTCTAGGGATTGTCAGTCTGTACCCCACTTCCACATCTCAGGGACTACCCTGTTCTTCAGACTGTTATGTTCATTATATTCCACAAATAAGTGAGATCATATGATACTTGTCTTTCTGTTTGGCTTGTTTTGCTTAGGATAATACTTTCCAGGTCCCGCTGTTTCATCTCAAAGGATGAGATCTTTCTTTCCCACAGCTGCATAGTACTCCATTGTGTATATGTACCACAGCTTTTTTTATCCATTCGTCTACTGATGGACATTTGGGCTGTTTCCAGATCTTAGCTATTGTAAATGCTGCTATGAACATGGGGGTACATATATTCTTTCTGATTGGTGTTTCAGGCTTCTTAGGGTATATTCCTAGAAGTGGGATCACTGGATCAAATGGCAGTTCAGTTTTTAATTTTTTGAGGTGGTATTACTTAATTTAATCCTCCCAACAACCTCATGAAGGAAGTATTATTATTTTATAGATGGGAAACTGAGGCATGGGGGGGGGGTTACATTACTTGCTGAAGGTCACACAGCTCATAATGGCAGACCAAGATCCAAATCCAGCAGCTGTTCCTTATGGACAGGGCTGGAGAGAGAGCATGCCCACCCTCGAAGGGCTGCCCTGTTCAGGGAGCTCGGTGAGATGTACTGCTGGGGTTACCAGTGCTGCGCACTGCATGAGGAGAAATCTGAAAGGAAGAGCAGTCTGATGAAAAGACGAGGGACAAGGGTCAGGATTCCTGGCTTCTAGGTGCTGTGAAACACCCAGGCATGACAACCAATACTTGACTTTACTTTTTGTACAGGACACTGATCGAGGCGCTGTGAGGGATACAAAGATGAACCCAATAGAGATCCTGCCCTTGGAAAGTTTACAGTCATGCACATACACATGGTGCTGAAATAGAGGCAGAAAGTGGGAGGTACCATAAGAAAATGTACAAACTGTTATGGAATTTCAAGAGTTTTTCAGCCTCTAGGGGCCACAGGGTGCCCAATCATAAAAGGGGCTGGCCTACGCAACCCCTGAGGTCTTCTAGTTCTAATGTGCTCTGACAGCACAGATTTGGAGCACAAGGAAATCAAGTTTTATTCTGGTTCATGGTTCAAGTTCATGGCCACTGAACTTGTTCATGTTCTCCTACCTAAGAACAGTTCCAGTTTCTTTGAGCAACATCTTACAGCAGCAGCAGGGCTATAATGCTCTCATGTAAATAATGCTACTAGATGTGAGAACAAAGCTTAGTGTGCTCTGCCCTCTTCCACTTCTTACTGGTTTTTAAACCCACAAACCCTCTTTCCATCAAGGAAGAGGTGCCCCTTCTGTGAGAATGTTGTTATATTCCCCTTGTTCATGTCTGTACCCCTAGAGTCTAGCATAGTACCTGGCTCACAATAGGTGCTGAATAAAGTTTGCTGAGCTAAACCTGAGTATGGCCAGGTCTGGAAATTCTCTGCTTGACATATAAATCTCAGTTGGTGTTCCCTGAAGTTTTGCTTTATAGCTCTCAGCTTCTCCTAGGGGAACAGACTGGTTCCACCTCTTCACTTTCACTGTTACCACACTGGTCTCCCAAGCCTCCATCATCTCTTGCCAGGCAGCTGCAATATAGTCTGTCTCCCAACTGGTAACCCAGCTTCTATGTTTGCTTCTTACAATCCAGTCACGATGTAGCAGCCAGAATGATTTTTGAGAACTTACATTTAGATCTTATAACCACTCTGCTGAAAAGCCACCAGTGGCTTCTAAGTGCATTTGGAATAAAACCCAGACTGGTTCTTCCCACATGCATAGCCCTTACCACTACTGAAATTATTTTGTCTGCTTATTTATTTATTACTCTCTCCTCTTTAGAATGTCAGCTACAGGAGGGCAGGGGCTGTGTCTACCTTCACCACTATAGCCCCATGCTTGGAATGGTGCCTGCCACACAGTAAGCATTCACTATTGAATGGATGACTCTCCATCCCATAGAGGAAACTTATATTTACAAGGACCACAAACTCCACCCAGAAACCATGAATGCCACACTAGCATTTAACAGCTGGCACCTTTATTTATGATTCAAAATCCTGCTTTAAATCAGAGGAAACTTGGTATCTCTGGATACTTGAATAGTCCAAAAGATCAGCATTACGTACAGTCTCCAGCCAGGAACTACAGTCCAGCAGTTGTAGCAGGAAGTTAAGAGTCAAGGCACTTGGGAACAGAACCTCAGAACAAACTCTGACTTGCCCCTGGGTCCCTTACCAACACACCCTGTGCCTCAATTTACCCAGCAGTCAGCCAGGCACACTTCCCTACATTCTGAGTGGCAGGAGACAAAATAATTAACAGCTACAGCACACTTAGATCTTCAGATAGGAGGTGCTGCAAACCACACAGCTCATTATTCATAAAACTCTTGATTTGCTGCCAACACAGGCCTCCTCGGCCTTCCCAGGGGCTAACCTGACAGCAGGTACTGCTCAGACAAGTTCAGCACACAAGAGAGAGAGGGAGGTATGTGGGACCTAACAGGTTGGGTCCAGAGCTATGTGTCTTGGTTACCAGGTTCAAGAAAACGGAAGGTGGCTGGGGTGGGGGTGATGAAAAGGAGGTGAGAAGCCAGTTTGGGGCTCCAAGAGGTTAATTTTGCAGGCTCACGTAACAGCTGGCCATACAGGTGAGACATGTGCCTGCAGTGTGTACCTTCCAGGAACACGCACCGGGGGAGGCGGAATGCAGGGACGACAGCTCGATCAAACTGGAGAGAGGAAGGGCAGCCCAGTGGCCAGACCTCGGCAGCATTTAGTTTGGGGAAACATGGAGGAGCTCGATACACAGGGTCAGGATGCTGAGAGTGGGGCTCAGGTGAGGGAAGAGACGAGAGGACGCAGGACCTGCGGCGCTGACAGACGATGACAACCGCGCCGAAGCGGGAGGTGAGCTCCCGGGTGGGCGCTCGGACACCTGTGGAGGCGTCCTCGGGGAGAAGGTGAGGACCCTGCAGGGTGGTCTTCGGCGGGGGCGGGCGGGCGGCGGGAGGCAGCAGCGGCCCGGCGGGGCCAGGAGGCCTGGCCCAGACCAGGGCGCCGCGCCGGGGGCCCAGCCGGCGGGTCCGAGTGGGGTCGGGGGTGCCCTCCGCGGGAGACAAAGGGCCGGCGACTCCCCCGAGCCCAGGCGCGGCGCGGGCCCGGGTGCTACGGGCGCGGGCTGGCCTCGGCGCTTACCTGGGCCGCCCGACCCGGCCGGGCCGGCGGGGGCTGCGGGTCCGTGCGCGGCGCGCGGCGGCCTGTTCCGGGGCACGCTCACCCCAAGCAGCCGCGGCGGCAGCAGCAGCAGCAGCAGCAGCAGAAGCAGCGGGAGCGGCCACCTCAGCCTCCGCCTCCCGCTCCGTGAGTCACCGCGGCGGGGAGGGAGGGAGGCGCCAGGCCGCCGGGGGAGGGACCGGCGAAGGGGGCGGCATCTGGCTCCGCGCGGGCGGTGGAGGCTCGGCCGCGGCAACGCCCCGCAGAGTGGAGGGGGCCGCGGAGGGCCGGGCGCTGGGGGCGAATCCTGCTGGAGGGGGCGGGGCACGGGGAGCGTGGGGATACTCATTGGTTACAGCGGACCGCGGGGCGGGGCTGTCTGCTGCGGGGCGGGAGCTGCGGGGGCGTTCGGGGACGCTCATTGGTTACATCGGCCCGTGGGCAGGGCTTCCTGCTGCGGGGCGGGCACTGCGGGGGCCTTGTACGCCGGGGTGGGGCCACGGGATGGGCGGGTGGGACGGGGTCGAGAGTAGCCGCGGAGCTGCGCTCAGAGCTAAGGGGAGGGCCGGGACCGGAGGTGGGCTTGGAGGAGGAGGCGGCCTGAGGGTGGAGCCGGGGTTAAGGATCGAACTGTCGCGGAGGTAAAGCAACTTTGGCCCTCGCTGCTCCCGGAGTACAGTGATCCCGTAAAAATAACGGCCCCTTCCGCACACGGGTCTGTGTTCAAAAAGGGGAGCTGCCAGACAGGCTGCCAGACAGGGCGGAACCCTAGTGCGGCCAGTTTACCCGGGACCACTGAAAAATCTGGATGGACAAGGTGGCAAGACATTTAGAGGCGTGGGCTTCCTGAGTCTTGGAGCTGGGAACGTTGCTACCTTTGAAGCGGTTAGGCCCACTCTTGAACTGGGGGCCTGCCGAACCTGGGGTCCACGGAACCTAGAGAGCCCAGGGATGGGCCTCCGGGGGTCCGTTAAACTTAGACTATCGTGTGCATTTACTGGACCAATGAGTGCATTTTTCTAGGGCAAAGGGGTCCGTGATTAAAATGCTTCTCTAGAAAGTCTACCTCTGCTATCTGGCTCCCCTGGAGAGAGTACAGGGAGAAATAGCCGTTTGTAGGCAAAATGTAAATTGCTTTGAACACCCACCTTCCCTTTTGAAGGGATGCATCTATTTAAATGTGGTCTCATTTTCAACATTTTAACTTAACAGTTACATAGTGTGACACTAACCGAATTTAAAAGTCCTCCTGCCTCGCTTTCCCAAACTTTCTTTTCACCCCTTTTCTGTCCTCTTCTACTCCCCTGACATTTCTTCCCATTCTCTATGCAAGAAAGAGACAAGATACTTAAAAATTTTTTTACTGTGTTCATATTCTGAAATGTCCTATTACTCCCTTGACACTGTATTGTAGTTACAATTGAGGACTATTTTAATCTTAACAAGAGTCATTAAATTACTAATTCTGAAAGGCCAGAAATAGATGTTAATCATGTCTGTATCCCCATCAGTGTCCAGACTACCATGCACATAGCAAGAGTTCAACCAATATTGGCCAATACAGTGTACCAGCTGGTCCTTCATGTTTTCCAGAGCACACCAATGCCAAACAAACAAACAAACAAACAAATCTTACACATTCAAATGATTTTTATGTAAATATTGATATTTAAACAAGTGAATTAAAGTTAAACAAGTCACTGGCTATTCAAGACACAATGTATAAATTATTTCTATAAAAGATATATACTTGAGGAGGAAGGTGAGAAAGGAATGCATAAAATAAAAATGTGTGTGAAAAGGACATTTTTCCTTTTTTTCCCCAAATTTTCATAAATATATTGTTTTTATAGTTCAGAATTATAATACGTTCATCAACACTGTCAGTGCCTCAACTACCCCATGAGCTCAGAGCTAGAAAACTCTGCATTTCTAGATAGCAGTATTACTTCAGGATTAACTCAGACTCCATCCATCTGTAGGGTCTTTAAATGAAACATTGAAGGCATAGGAGATAGGGAACATCTGTTAGTTTTGACAGCCCACCATCATCTCTTCTCCTTGGGGAACTGCTCCTGCCTTCCTGCTACCCCTCCAGAAGTGCTGATGAGGCTACCAATTACAATATATACACTCTCCCCTCCACAAAACAACAAATAGGGAAGACATAGGGCTCAAGTTGGACCAATCCAAGTGCTGCATTCGCTTGATTATTAGCTAAGAAGGATGTGACCTGAGCTAAGCCTATTGGAGTTCTTCCCTGACACTTTCTGACTTAGAAATGAAGGGAAGTTCTGTATTTCCTATTGGCTCAAGAACTATAAGGATGTGACCTCAGAAATGTTAGCATCATTCTCCAGCCATCACATGGAAAATTCTGAAAGAACAAGGCAATGTTACTGGACAGAAACAATTAATTTGGAGAAAGGGAAGGCGAAAGGGAGAGAAAAGGAGGGAGACCCCTAACAGTTTGTTCCATGGTTTCACTAGACCCTGCACTAGCTTTGCTCACACCATCTCATACTTAATAGGTCCCCAAATCTCCCTCTCCTCCAGCGCTCCCCTCTTCAGTAACTGGCACTGCTCCGCACCGTTACTTACAACTTAAAAGAGTATCCTTGACATCACTCTCTCCCTTACCCCACATATCCAGTCCACGCTCTTCCACCCCAAACCATATCTTGAATCTCCCCACTACCCACCATCTCCACTTCTCTGTCCCAGTTTAACCTATCGTCAGATCTTGCTTTGACTCCAGCAATAACTTCCGAGTATTCTCTCATTCAGGTTTTTCCTACCACCCCCAATCCATTACCACACAACAACTAAAGGAATCTTCTTTTTTTTTTTTATCCTCACCCGAGGACTTTTTTCCATTTTTTTGTTCATGTAGAGTGGGAGGGAGAGAGAGAGAGAAACATCGATGTGAAAGAAACACATCAAGTGGCTGCCACCCGCACGACTGACCAGAGCCGGGGACAAACTGCAACCGAGGTACATGCCTTGAGCGGGTCTCTCAGGACCACAGGCTGACGCTCTAACCGCTGAGCCAAACCAGCCAGGGCTAAAGGAATCTTCTTAAAATGTACTGATGTTGTCAGACTTCTGCAGTTCAATGAGTTCTCTTTCTTTTCATGATAAAGTGCAAAATCCTTAGCATGGCTGCAGGATCCTATGTAGCCTGGCTCCAGCCTGACCTTAAACCAGCTTTGCTGACCGGGCTCTAACGACTCACAGGCCTTCTTCCTATTCCTTGATCACAGGGTACTTCTTTGTGCTTCCGGACTCGTGACTGCAGTTCCCTCTGCCTCTATGGCTCTATTTCTCCCACTTCTCCCCACTTCACATGACTGAATATTTGGTCTTCTTCAATGAGACTTTTCTTAACCTATGTAAGATCCAGCCCCAGCATGCCCATAAATTCCAGGAGGGCAAGGAGGTCACTGTGAACCACCCCTACCTAACACAGTACCTGGCACATGCAGATGCCAAACAAATATTATTGCATGAATAAATAAATGGGCCCTGACCAGGTAGCTCAGTTGGTCAGAGCGCTGTCCTGATATGCCAAGGTTGCATGTTCAATCCCCGGTCAGGGCACATACTAGAATCAACCAATGAATGCATAAATAAGTGGAACAACAATCTGTTTCTCTCTCTCTCTCTCTCTCTCTCTCTCTCTCTCTCTCTCCCCTCTTCCTCTCTCTCTCCAAAATCAATCAATAAAACTTAAATGAATAACAATGTATAAATACGCCATCCAGGACTTTTCGCCCATTGGCCAGCCATTCCTAATTCCCCAACTCCAATGCTATCAACACAGTAAAATTTCCAGACCAAGTATGAAACAACGGGGGAGCCACAGTAGGCTGCAGGGAAGGAGAGCTATTTTGGAGCAGTTATGGTGACTGGGGTCCTCAAATTTTACTCCATTAGAGGGCCTTCCTGCCTATGAGTTGAACAGGTGCTCAGTGAGAATGGGAGAGAGAGGAAGAGACCTTCTACTGAATAAAAAGAGACATTTTAGTAAACAAAAAAATTAGAACCAATTTTTTTTGAGAACCAAATTTTAAGCATTAATTAATAATGCACAGTAATGTCCTGGATGATTTGGCTCAGTGGTAGAGTGTCGGCCTGCAGACCAATGAGTCACGGGTTCAATTCTGGCCGAGGGCACATACCTCAGTTGTGGCTTGTCCCCGGCCCTGGTCAGGGTCGTGTGGGAAGGCAGCCAGTCAATGGGTCCCTCTCAAGTCCATGTTTCTCTCTCTCGCCCTTTCTCTCCCTCTCTCCCTCCCACACTGTCTGAAGATAAACAGAAAAATGTCCTCGGGTGAGGATTAAAATAGTAATAATTTCCAGTGATATAGAAAGTAAAAAAAATTTTTTTTTTGCTTTGGTCCCTAAGTGTGTCATCCTGTTTACATTTGGTACAGCTCTGCCTTCTCTGAGGACAGTGATAAGGAGGCTAAGTGCACAGGAGACAAAGTGTGCCAGTCACACGCCATTCTCCTGTGTTTTGCTTTGGCAAATAACTTGTCGTCTAATTTTACTTTGGAGATAATAAGGAATTATTAAACACAACGATGAAAGCATTTTGTAGATCAGTGAATATACATATTTTGTGTCATGCATGGGGTATGTGCAGCTGTGAACATCTGGCTGTCTGCCAACCTGTCCCCAGAGTGTTGGCTTCTGTAGCCTCTGATGGCTAGATCCTCCCTATATCCCAGAATCCTGCTTGCATTGCGCTTGGGAACAGTATGAACATAATTATTCATTTCTTTCGCTGTTTTGATAAACCAACATGTCTTATAAGTGTATTTTGTGCAGCCTCTAATATTCTAATCACTTAGTAAAGACAAACCAACATAAGACCCCAATTTGGATCCAAATAGTCTGTTAGCCTTTAAGCATAGTAGTCTATCACCTTCCCCCCCCCCCTGCTGGTTATCATCCAATTAAATATAAAAAATTACCAGCCCTACAAGCAAATAGCCTCTGCTCTCTGGGAATAAATGATAAACAGC